TCTTCTTGCAGTCTAATATATATTTGTTGCTTTTGGTTTCTCTATTTCATATTTTATTTTATTTTGAAAATTAATTTTCTCTGATCATTTTTGGGCCTCTATTTAACTCCATTACTAGATTTTGTATGATCATCTGTAGGTCATTCCTTTTTTATCTTTATAGTGATGATATTTTACTAATAAGTAGTCATAGTCAGTGGCAACAAGAATTTCTGAAGAGTTGTGGCTGGCTGTTCCTCAGAGCCAGTGATTGGGAATGTAGGTCTATGACTGGGTCTTTCCTAACCATACTTAAAATTTAAATTGTGTTTCACTTCAACTTCTCTTGAACCAAATAATATTTTAACATAATAATCTTTGATATGCAAAGGTACATCTTCAAAGGTTTACTATTTACATGCTGTCACTTATAAGAAGGCTTAAGATTTTTAGAAATCAAACTACCAGTTATCATAGCATGGTGTGACTCTAGTATATATGCACATATACATAGACACATGTGTGGGTCCATGTATATATACTTATTTGCATTTTCTGTTTCTAAATTTCTTTAAATGTAGTTCCCTGAGCTTAAGTTCCCTAAACCCATTATGTTTGACTCTCAGAAATCTTCTCCATGAATGAAATTGTCCCTGATGAATGTTGCTGACTTTCTAAATGACCTACTTTGTTTCTTTTGGGTATATATCCATTGATGGGATTGCTGGATCATGTGATGGTTCTATTTTTAATTTTTTAAAGAATTTCCATACTGTTTTCCATGATGGCTTTACTAACTTACATCTCCATCAACAGTGTGCAAGGGTTCCCTTTTCTCCACATCCTAACCAGCATATTAGTCTTTTTTGACAGCATTCTTACTGGAGTGAGTTGATATCTCATTGTAGTTTGATTTGCATTTATTTACCTGATGATTAATGAAGTTGAACATTTTTCATGTACATGTTGGCCATTTGTGTATCTTTTTAGAAATGTTCATATCTATTGTCAATTTTTAAATTAATTTTTAATCGCCTTTTTTTTTTGGCTATAGAGCTTTTGGTGTTCCTTAAGTATTCTGCATGTTAACCCTTTGTCAGACTTACATACTACAAATATTTTCTACCATTCTGTAGGTCATTGATGTTTGCTTTGTTTTGCAGAAGCTTTAGTTTTATGTATTCCATTGTCTATTTACTTTTATTTCCTGTGATTTTGGGGGTTTTACCAAAACTTTTTGCCCACTAAAATGTCCTGAAGCATTTCCACTGTTTTCTTCCAGTATTTCCACAGTTTTTAGTTACATTGAAGATCTTTATCCAGTTTGAGTTGATTTTTGTAACTGATGATGGGAGCCTAGTTTCATTCTGCATGTAGATATCCAATTTTTCCAGAACCATTCATCGAAAATACTGTTTTCTCCATTTCATGTTTTTAGCACTTTGTCAAAAATCATTTGACTGTACATGCACAGACTTCTAGTTTTTTATTCTGTTCCATTAATTTTTATGCCTGTTTTTAAGCCAACACCACTCTGTTTGGATTAAAATAGCTTTTCAGTATGTTTGCAATTCAGATATTATGATGCCTCATACTTTCCTTCCTTCCTTCCTTCCTTCCTTTCTTTTTCTTTCTTTCTTTCCTCTAGGTTATTTTGTCTGTCCAGGTTTTTTTTTTTATGGTTCCAAACAAATTTTAGGATTGTCTTTCCTAGTTCCATGAACAAAATCATGGGCATTTTGATAGGGTTGCATGAAATTGCAGATTGTTTTAAGTTTTATAAACATTTTAGCAATATTGATTCTAACAATCCATGAACACAGGATATCTTTCCATTTATTTGTGTCTTCTTCAATTTTTCCAACAATGTTTTATAGTTATATTGTAAAGATATTTCACCTCTTAGGTGAAATTTATTGCTAGCTATTTTATTTTTTGGTAGATATTAAAAAATGGATCGCTCTCTTGATTTTTTAAGATAATTCACTAATGCTGCATAGTAACGCAATTTGTTTGTATGTTGATTTTTGTATATCCTGCTAGTTTGCTCAATTTTTTAATTATTTTTAATATTTTTAGTGCAGTCTTTGTGTTTTTTACATATAAAATTCTGTCATCTATAAGCAATGATAATTTGACTTCTTCCTTTTCTATTTGGAGTCCCTCAATTTCATTCTCTTACTTAATTCTTCAGGCTAGGACTTCCAGCACTATGTTGAATAAAACTGGTGAAAGTGGGCATCCATACCTTTTTTTAAAAAAAAATATTATTAATTAACTAATTTATTTTAATGAGCTGAAAATCTTAAATACAATGCTTTAAGTTTTCCAAGTTCAATATGATGTGAAATGTTGGCTTGTTTTAAATATCCTTTATTATGTTGAAGTATGTTCTAATTTGTTCAGTGTTCTTATCATCAAAGGTCATTGAATTTTATCAAATACTCTTTCCTCATCTATTAAGATGATCATATGGTTTATGTCTTTGTTCAACCATATTGAATCCCTGAGGTAATCTTTGAAATGTGCTGTTGGATTCAGCTTTCTAGCATTTTTAAATCCATGTTCATCAAGGATTTTGGCCTGTAGCTTTCTTTTTTGTTGTATTGTCTGGTTTTAGTATCAGGTGATGCTGGCCTCCTTGAATAAATTTGGAAGAATTTTCTCCTCTTGTTTAAGTGTTTGGTAGATTTCAGCAGTGAAACCATCTGGTTCTGGACTGTTCTTTGATGGGAAACATTTTATTGCTGATGTTTTCAGTCTATATTTCTTCATAAATCAATATTGTTAAACTGTATATATGTAGGAAATTGTTCATTTCTTTCAGTTTTTCAAAGTTGTTAGTATATATTTGTCCCTAATAATTTCTGATGATCTTTGTGTTCCTTTGCTGTCAGTGGAATGCATCCTTGTTCATCTCTGATTTGAGTCTTCTTTTAGTCTAGCTAATGGTTTGTCAGTTTTGTTTATCTATTAAAAAAACAACTTTTTTGTTGATATTTGTATCATTTTTAAACTCTATATTTCATTTATCTCTGCTCTGGTTTTTCTTATTTCTTTCCTTCTGCTAGTGGTGGGTTTGGTTTGTTCTTGCTTTTCCAGTTTTTTTAAGTATAGTGATATGTTGTTTATTAGAAATCTATCTGCCTTTTTGATGTAGGCATTGATTCCTATAAACCTCTTCTTATGGCTTTTACTATATTTCATGTTTCTTAATATGTTTTGTCTCTTCAATTTTTTTTTCAAGAAATTTTACTTTATTTTCTCTCTTAATTTCTTTCTTGATCTATTAGGAGTAAGCTGTTTTGTTTCCATTTTTTATGGTTTCTAAAGATTTTGTTATTAATTTCTGGTTTTCTGGTGTTGTGATGCAAAAAAAAAGTACTTTATGCTTTCAATTTTTAAAGATTTTCTGTGAGACTTTTAAAAACAATGAATATAAATACAGTTGATTCTTATCTCTGACTTTCTTAGGGAAATTTCCAGATTAGAATGAACATGTATATTTTAAAGACTCCTTTGTGGTGATATTGTGAAATTGTGAAACTTTTCAATGATATCTGAAAGAAGTCATTTCTTCATACTCTTGTTAACAGTGATACATTTAAAAAATTCATTTAATTTTGAGACCAAAATGTATCTTTCATATTTTGATAACTATTTTTGTGACTACCTTTGTGATATAACATACATTATTTGAATTCTAAGTCAGGCTAACAGCAACTATTAGACAGCTATTAATCTAATCCTTAGATTACTATTATATGCCTGTATTAATTTGCTCCATGACACTAATTTTCACTATTCAGCCAGGATATATGAACTTAGTCAGTTAGTATTTATAAAATGAATGTTATGAATTCAAGTTATATTCCTTAAAGACTTAAGAAGTATAAAGAGTATTATTATGTTCTGTCATTCCATTGTGCTCTTTAGCCATCTTATTTCATGTGGTAAAACTCCTTAGGATCCATGTCCATGAAAGCTACTATGTGTACTTCTTTTATTTTGTATTGTGTAAAACACTATAATCTAAAGGATTTCTATTCATTTTGAAATTCATTTTTACAGCTCACTATTTGTGTGAATGAAAGAAAAAAAAACACCAGTTTTTATTCTAAAGCATGCTAAGGAGATGGCTCAAAGTTCATTGGTACCCTCTCATATGACCCCCTTCTGTAGGTAGTGAACCTGACATGGATCTGTCAAACAATGTGAGGATTCGTTTAACATAGCACTTGACAGTTGTTGAGCCTCTGAGCCCCTGGTTTATTGTGACTTATAAACATTTTATTTTTTACCATCAGCCTCTAAGGTACTTGGTAATTTGAGCAGGTGCAGCACAGTAGAATTCATATTCATTTTACTTAAGAAGCCAAATGAACTTTTATTCATATGGAAATTTCAAGAAAAGACAACAGCACAGGGATTAAACTTAGCTTCCTGAAAAGGGATTAATAAATGTATTAATGTTCAAAACTGTAGCATCATTTCTGAGCTACAACTCTTTGAAAAACTGAGTTGAAGAAAAGATCAGGGTTTATATTAGCAAGCTTTTTTGAGAGAATCTCCTTTAAAATCTCTTTTCTTCTTACCATACAAGAGAACTGCTTCCTTATTTACTTTCTTTCCTGTGTGATGTGTGAGTTAACCATTGACAATGTTAGCAATTACATTCATTGTGTGTGCACACGGGTGTGTGTTTGTAGAAAGTAAAGTGTAATAGAGACAAAAGGGAATTAATGAATGTCTTCAAATATTTCCAACTCCAACAAGGATGTCAGGAGAATAACTAACTGGGTTATCACTTCAGGAAAGAAAGGCTGGTTGCATGTATTGTTCTAATGGAGCCTATGTAGTAACTTAAGTTAGAGAATAGCATGCTGGAGAAAATGTTTTCTATTCAATATAAGGAAAAGCATATGCATTTCTTTCACTCCATCTTTTTCTCCAGTTCCAAACCAAGTACCTCAGGCTCCACTGGTGTACTTAACACTTATTTACTTTTCCTCTGCTTCCAGACGGATGCTGCTTTAATGTATGATGCTGTGCACGTTGTGTCTGTGGCAGTCCAGCAGTTTCCCCAGATGACAGTTAGCTCCTTGCAGTGTAATCGCCACAAACCCTGGCGCTTTGGGACCCGTTTCATGAGCCTAATTAAAGAGGTAAGTCCGAGAAGCACTCTACTTTATCACTTCTGTGCTCAAGGTGAATAAAGTAAAATTATTGAAGTTTTTCTATCTGGTGATATTTTACTTTTATCTTTTAAAGTAAACTTCCCCTCTCCCCTGAAACAAGCAAAATTAAGATTTTTACTAAAAAATATGAAAAAAAATATTGTTTTGATTATTCATAAGTGGAATATCCATAAAAATATCTATGATGAAGTAAACATGAAAGACTGTGACCTATGAAAGTTTAATTTATGATATTGTTAACTTTTACCTTACTGAATCTTTATGTGTGTTAACTTTTCATTTATGTAGACATATAGAAATTTATAGAATGCTCATATTTTAGGCAACAAGATATAAAATGCATTTTTAATATGAGTGTCATTTGAACTACACTAAAATTATATCTAGTTTGAGAGGCTTAAAGTGCAGTTCTTTAGATTTATGGTTCTGAAATATAATGTCTAGTTATTTTAATTATATTAACATTTAACATAAAACAGAACATATGGACTCATAAAAATGCAAAATTTACTTCATACTGTATAATATAACCATCCTTATGATTATATATTATTTCAGATTGGGTCAATTACAGTTATAGACCAAGCATGCCTGATGTAAGAAAAAAGTGGAAAATTCTTAAAGATTGTACATATGTGCACACACAAATACATTTTCTTTCTATTCTTTCTGCTATTCCTATCATGAAAGAAAGTCATTTGTTGGCTCAGGATATATTTTAGAGATGAAAGTATAGCTGATTGTTAAATTTTGTTATGAAAAATCACAGGTATTACCATATAAGAATTTTCATTAATTGGTTAAATAAATCATCAGTTCATCTTATCATTAATTACTCATCGTGAAATAGGATCATTCAGTATTAAAATAATTATACATAAATAAATAAAAGAATCTCTAAATTCTTGGCAAAGAATAGCCATGAATTTCCCTTGTCTAATTCTTATAAAACCCTTAGATAAGTGAATTGACATCCCCAGAAAAAGATGAAGTTTGTTAGATGCTCCACACTTTGAATTTACTTAAGGTTCAAAACCAAGCATTAGAGCACTCACATAGCCCACATAGGGGCTCACATAGCTCCCTCATAGCCCACTGGTTGAAGTAGTTGAAGAACTGATCTTTCTGAACCTGGACCTTATGTATTGAGACCATGACATGTGTCAAGCAGCCATAGAAGAAAGAGTTGTATGACATTCCACTCATTGTATTTCTTGTAGAGTATAATTGAGAACCTTGTCTACTAATTTATACAGTGTCCCCCTTATGAGGACAAACAGGAGAAATTTCTCTCAGGGCTCAGTCCCAGGAGAAGCTGTTTCTCCTGAGCCACTGGTGTGTCTTAACTTATGAACTCTACATATTATATTTTCATTATATTTTCTTTTCTGGTTTGGTTGTTTGTTAGAAGTTCAAGTTTGAATTTGTGATAAAATTTTATTAGTTCCATGATCTCATCGGGTTTACGTTTTTATGGTCTCTCTATTCCAGATTTGTTTGACTATTTTTTGCTTCTATTCCTATAGATGTTAACTCATTTGTATGTTTTTATATCATCTATTTTTGCTAACCATCTAAAATTTTTTGTCTTGAAGACATTGGGCAAACTTTTTTTTTTTTTTTTTTCTCATTAGGGTACTGGAGATTGAACCCAGAGGCACTTTACCACAGAACTATATCCCTAGTCCTTCTTACTTTTTTTATTTTAAGAAAGATTCTCACTAAGTTACTTTAAGGCCTAAGTTGCTAAGGCTGGCCTCAAACTTGCTATCCTCCTGCTTCAGTCCCCTGAGATGCAGGGATTATAGACATGCACCACTGCACCTGGCTGTTTTTTTTTTTTTTTTTCTAAGCCAGTTAATATGTGTTTAACTTTAGTGAAGACATGTTGAGATTGTCTATCTATCTATCTATCTATACACATATATACTTATATTATTTTTGTATAAATTATAATTTTGTAAATTTGTATAAATTATAATTATATTTACTTATAATTTATTAGCTTGACTATTTTACAATTCCTGAGAAACACAGAGGTTCAGAAATATTCTAATAAAGATATTCATTTGGATTCTTTATTGAAATATTACCCTTAATTTTTTTTTGGTTTATTTATTTTGAGCATTGGTGTTTATTATTTTAAACATTATAATTACGATTTTTTCCTTGCATAACTTAAAATTCTCATACATGTGTAAGTATTTTTCAAAGCTATTTCCAAATGAAAATAGTGGAAAGCAATTAATTTGGCCTAGGTAGCAAACAGAATAAGAAAAGATTTTATATTAACACAAAGTGCAAATAATACCCACCTTGGAAGGGTGAACACATTACATAGTAAGTTATGGTATTCCTGCTTCATTCCCCACTTATAGCTTTGTATAAAATAATTACTTAGGAGAAATTAAAGTAATAAGGGAAATTATTATAAGGGGAAATTGCATAACTGAAGTCTAACATATGTTTTCTGGGGTTTACTTCTTTTCAGTGTAACAAGTTTCTTTTTATATTAAATTAATTTAGGACTAGTAGTTCATAACAGTTATATCTGTAATACATAGTGAGATATCCAGTAGTTCATATGTCATAATAATAAGTGACTAAATTCTTTTTACTACTTAAAGCATAATCATCAAATTTCTTTTAGAAAAGAGTTATAAGTAGAAACATTAATTGTATAAAATGAAAATTTTAAAACAAATTTTATACGGAAATTAGAGGATGTTATTTATGAAAAATATCCTTTAAATTTCAGAATAAAATAAAAATATTTTATATATCTACAGCAATGAAAATTTATGAAGAGTGCTGATAATAATCTTCCTAGTATTTATAGACAAGCATTTTATCTTCTATTTCTTTACTTACTTATTAACTTTTTTCCCCTTTCCTCAATAGGCTCATTGGGAAGGCCTCACAGGCAGAATAACTTTCAACAAAACCAATGGCTTACGAACAGATTTTGATTTGGATGTGATTAGTCTCAAGGAAGAAGGTCTGGAAAAGGTAAATTGCTCAGCTTATTCACTTCAATTGTTATATAAAACATATCCTAATGAAGAAAGAAATAATCTCTGCTATAGATTTTATTGACACTCAACTTTATTAAGTAACTCTAAAATATAAACCTTCAACTTATTATGTCAAATATAATAATTGACAACTAAGATTCAAGGATAAAGGTATCCTAAGACAATTTAAATAATTTATTTTCTCATCAGGTTTTTCTGAAATGAATGCATTTTTCATTAACCTTTTATATTTTGAAGTGAATAAAATCCTAGTTAGTCTTTTTTTTCCTAGTTAGTCTTAAGATTTAATATAGTTATTAAAAATATTTGCTTTAATATTATAATATAATCTTTTATATGCAACTTACAATCACTTGTGCTTGCATGGAGTTTCCTATATGGTACAGGCCAAACAACAAAAAAATCAAATGCACAGATAAGTTTATCTTGCTGCGTCATACTCAAGTGAAACACCTGAATTAATGTACATAAATTATATAAGGTATAAACATAAATGCAAAATGCTATACTATATCATCTTACTTGTTTCTACTTCTAGGGATTGAGGTAAAGGACAGGCAAGGTATATAGAATTTGGGTAGGTGCTTACTTTCAGAATACTTCAATTTTGCTCATATTTGTAATGTATGCTTTTAGATTTTTTAAAATCTCATTGGAAATTACAGGTAAATAGGTATTTGAATAAGAATTTAAGAAAAAATTCTATTTCACAAATATAATATCGCCTAAAAATGTTAAATTATATTTCATCTAGCAATTCAACATAGAACATTATTCATAGATGGAAACTGAAGAAAGAAGTTGAGTCAGAACTTTCCTTCTAGCCTGAAAAATAACAGCATATATAAGAGGTGATTCAAATGATCCTAGAGAGAGAGAGAACACATTTTTGATAATGTCACAAAGATAAGTACCTTATGACCAAATGATGACTCAAGATGACAGGGATGTTTCCTCCTCCCACTGAGAGTTTCTCACTGTACCTTTAGTCAAGACTATTTAATTTCAGGAATGTTTTATAAGAAATTGGAACTCAAACATTCATGGATAGTCACTTTTGAACCACTTTGTTTCAAAGATGGGAACATCCGTTTGTATCTAAGACTGGAGATAGCTGAATTTAGTCAGCTCCTAAGAGTTTATCCCCATATTTACTAGGGTTGTGATTACCTTATTTTTGGAAATATCCAAGTCATTAGGATGATCCTGATCATTGCTTCTATTTCAACATTTAAAATAGTGATGTGCTTCATATCTCCATGGATTCACTCTATTTTGAATTCAAAAAAAAAAAAAAAATTGCAGAAGTCTTTTCCATGCCTTAAGCTAATATATAACAACCTTATACAACATGGTTGCCAAGTATATATGATAAAGTACTATATTAATAATAAGTAAGGTAAAAGAGTATGAGTTATACATATTGCCATAAAATTTCATAGGTATTTTGTATTTGCTTTTGAAATCAGAAAGTTTGGTTTGCTAAATTAAATACTGTCCTCGATTTTTAAATAAATACAATGGACAGATATCTGTTTAAAGCCTTAAAAATAGCAATAAGTACATATTGAAAGCAACAGTTATAAATTAATTATACAAATATGGTAATGGGGTACTTTGAATAATGGATAATTAGTGTGTTTGGTAGAGAGTCATTTCAGAAAGAAGGGATGATTTCAGGAAAGGAACTTCACAGGAAATTACTTGGATCATTTTATGTAAACACACATACACACAACACACATACACACACAATAAAAGTGGGATATAGAGTTAAAAAATTTGAGTCATAATTTGAACATAAGTTTTAAGATATTTGTAATATATTAGTATACCATGTGAGGTTAAAGAGAGAATAGCCTGGAAGTTATTGGCTGCTTGGGAAGATATTGTGACTTGAAATACTTTCAGTATGAGTCTATAAACTTGAAATCATTCTAAGTGGAAGCAGGATATGAGTAATCAGTGACAGGGAGTTAAATGAACCTTCAACAATGTTGTTAGTTCAAGAACTAGCAGAGTAGTGGACTGTATTTTTAAGGAGAAATGGAGACAGATGGCAAAAGGTGAAGATGCTCATGATAAAGGTATAAATCTAAGATTTGGAAAATAATTAGCAAATGGGAGAAATAATGGTAGAAAGAAGTTGGTATAAGTCTTCCTCTGAAAAGACAGATAAGGTACTGAGGATGGGTGAAGGTAACTTAGAAAAAAGGAAAACTAAAAGACTTCACATGACATGTTTTCAACATCCTCAAAAATTAGTACTCCTAGGTCTAGGAATGTGGTTCAGTGGCAGAGCACTTTCCTAACGTATAAATGGCTGAGTTCAAGTTGCAATTCTGGAAAAAAAAAAATACTACTTGAATTCATCATCTAAAAGATAGAGAGATGATTAAAATGTATTCAGATTGTAAGAATCATTGGAGCTGCAATTTTAACAGACAGGATTTTGACATAATAGGAATTAAGTATCGTTAAATAAAAGTCCTCATGTTTTAGTTTAGTAGAATGGCTAAAAGTTCAACATCTAGATTCGGACAGAATAGGGCTCAAATTCTCTGTCATTTATAATTTATGTGCAAATTTCTTAATCGCTGTAAAACAAATTTCTTGATCTCCGAATCAGGGGCAATAGCAGTATCCACCTCATGAAAGACTAATGATTTTTGTCTTGACCATATTTTTTCCCTAAAATATATAGTCACCAACTCACAGATGAAAAAGAAAGAATTCCTACCTTGATTGAGTTCAGTTTAGAAGGACCAATAGATGAGAATCCAGATGGCTTCAATTATAATTCCCATTTCCTCATAATTAACTGTGTGAATTTTATCCTTTCTCCCAACTTCTCAGTTCCAAATTCTTCATCTCAAAAAAAAGTGAATGAGGGTTTTTCTTTGAATAGTCTGAAGTTAGAATATAATGGTTTCTAAAAGGACCAGGAAACACAATCTTTATAGGGACCAGAGCTAGGAAATCTAACTGCCCTCAACTCTTATCATGATTAAGTGGAGAAAATAAACAAAGAAAACTTATAGGACTGGCAGAATGTTTGCCTAGCACGTACAAGGCCTTGTGTTCAACACTCAGCACTGCAAAAAAGCAACAAACACATAAAATACTATCTATTACTTCTTCACATGCTTATTTCTGTCTCATTGTTCTATCTTAGTCATCTTTGACAAGCACAATTCATTTAATCTTCTACCAAGTGTGATGAATGTCTATTCTATGTGCATATAAGGGTTAAACTCTAGTAGAGGAATTCTGCCAATAGTAAATGGAATTACAAACTTATAAGATTGGACAGCATAAGTGCTAGAAACAGAGGCATCTTGTATATTTGTCAATCAAATGATAGATTAGGAATCACTTTCTGAAATGTAATCCTTACATTATTTTCATGAAAACTATATTTCTGATGTTTACAACTGTGGAACAGATAAATCAGAAAATAGCAAGTATGTTTCTGGTGAACAGAGAGGGATGGGACATATTAAGAGGACTGAGCCTTGAGTGAAGTTGCTACTATGGACTTTCTTCCCACATAGATAGTCCCCATAGATCAAAAATGAATCCTTTCATTCTGTTTTGATGGCGACATTGCTTGGAACCCAGCCCAGTTAGCTGTGGCCCAAGAACGATCACCGATACTGCATATACAACCTGTTACATCTGTCCAAACAAACTTTCTAGGACCATAACAGGACCTTCTCTGGAATAGAGGAAAATAAAGGAAGAAAAGGCAGCAGGTGCTATCCTAATATTGTTTACCTCAAGCTACAATAGGAAAATTTTCTTGTTACCAGAGCCTGATATTGAGTGGTCAAGAATAGGAAAGGAAAACTACAATAAATGTTTTCTTTTTTATCTACTTGAACTCATCTATTCAAAGAGCATATTGTGTATTTCACTTTCAAAATGTGTTTAGAATCTACATTATTTTTTTCTACCTCTATTTCTATAAGCACATTCTGGGTTCATTTTAGCTGTACAACTACTTGTACAAGCCTCTATGTTCTATTCTCCCTCATAATCCATTTCCCAAGCTAAAGCAGCCAGATAGTATTTTTCAAAGCAAATTGATACACGGCATTCCTCTGCTTAATGCTTCTATGAATTCCCATTGGATTTTAGGTAAAATTCCAATACTACTGGCAGAGCACTGACTCTCATCCCCTGCTAAGATACTCTATGTTCCAGCTACACTGACCTTTTCTCACTTCTCCACAGGAACAAATTTTCCCAATTCTTTGACAATAGCCTTTTCTCAGCTTGGAATACCCATTCATATCCTTTGTTCATGGAGAACACTTAACTCATCCTAGGGGTCGCATCTTAAATATTTCTTTCTTCACCAGGATTCCCCTAAATCTCTAGTCAAATTTAAGTTTCTAATAGTACCCTGTCCTTTTTATTCCTGGCACATATCAAAATGTGTAATTATATATTTTATGTGCAGCTTTTACAAAGGCTATCTCTCTAGCAAGAATATAAGATCTATTAGATGAAAAAAATGATGTCTTTTCCACTATTATGTATTAAAGTTCTATCAAAGTGTCTACCACAAAGTGTATCCTGAAGAAATATTTATTGAATATTGAGTGAATAAAGAATCATTAAGACAATCATGATACTTCACATAGAATACTCATTCAAATAAGTGTCTGCAGTTATTGTCTAGTAGCATAGTTTTTACTCTTTCTAATTTTCCTCCATGTCTCTCACATGAAAACAGAGAAAGCCAATGGTCAAAAAATGAGTAATCTGGGGTTGTAGAGTACAGGTAAAAGGCACATTGAAGTCTGAACTCAGAAAGATGCACATTGCACCAGTAGCAAATCTCATTCTTATATGGTATAATTTAATCCTTCCAGCACTTAATTGTGATATTAAAGAATAAAAATTATCATCTAGTTATAGATTTTTTTCTTCTTCCTACAATTTTGTGATGTGGAAATAAACAAAATT